TCAACACATTCTCCAGGAACGGTATTATCAGGAATATACAAAAGACTATATGTAAATATTGTGTACGCTTTCTTGTTTCAATACATTTTGTTCTAAGTACATTTTGTGTTGCATTATTATTCCATGCATTAGTCAAATTTCAACACATAATAACCACAATAACCTAACTCTGGAGAAGGAATAATGAGAATTTCAGATCTTAGTACTCTTGTGGATTAACAATATTGGGATTTAGTGAAAAATAATTTTTTCTTCTCTTGCCATAGAAATTATTGTCAGTAATACGCGTGGTTCAAAAACCTGCTATAATGGGTTTATAAATACAAAAATGTCACTCGCAAAACCAAATTGTGACTTTTTTTCCTGTTTTTTTTTTTTTTTATTCCTAGCCAAAATTGAAACTTTTTATGTGACTTTATTATAGGGTAATCACCTTCCATTTCTAAAACCGCAACCCAATCGTAAGCCGAATTTTCGAATCCAAGTAAAAAAAAAAAGTCACAGGCAAAAAATCACAGGAAAAAAAGTTACGCAAAAGGTCACAGGAAAAAAGAAATAGGATGATGTGAGTACTGTTTCTGCAACTTTCTTTAATAGACGGTTTTAACCCTAACCTAAGTAACCCTAACCTCTAACCCCTAACCCTAATCCGGAAGACAGTGTGAATAGTGGAAATCTTGGATCTCAGTTCTGTTGTGAATCAACAATTCTTGGGTTTAGTGAAAAGTAATTTTTACGCCTCCTCCCCTAGAGTAAGAAGCGTGGTTCAAAAATCTACTTAAACGGGCATACCAAACATGTCACACACAAAACCAAGTTGACCTTTTTTTTCCTGTGGTATATTTTAAGCCAAAATTGAGACTTTGTTACTGGTCACGATTCTAACAGCTCAATGAGGAAGACCCGGGCTTGTAACTTTCAATACTTCAACACCAAGTTACTATCATTTCATCATATATATATATATATATATATATATATATATATATATATATATATATATATAAAACAAATTTAACATTGAAAATTCAAAGAACTGAGACAATAATAATAATGATATCCAATATATAGCTACACTTTGACTTATATACAGGGTGTCCATATAGTTCGTGTGCACTTTAAAAAACTTATAACTTTATTTGTATTTGCAATAGAAGTAATCTGTAAAAAATGTTATAAAGTTTAATGTACCTAG